CTAGCTTGAGTTATGAATTTTTGATGAAAATTAAAAGTCTGAAAATTATTTGTTTTTAAGAATTGATTGATGTTTGGAATTGTTAGTACCGGGTCCATATTTTGGTTCTGGATCCCAATACAGGTTCATTATGATATTTAAGACTTGTCTGTGAAATTTGATGAGAAACGGAGTTGATTTGACGTGATTCAGATATTCGGAGTTCTAGGTGTTATTTTGGTGATTTGATCACTCGAGAAGGTTCGTATGATGTTTTTAGACTTTTGTGCATGTTTTGTTTGGAGCCCCAAGGGCTCGGGTGAGTTTCGGATAGGCTACGGGATGTTTTGGACTTAGAATTTCTATTGTTTTATTGTTGCTGGTGCACAGGTATTTTGTGCTTCGCGATCGCGAAGTGTAAACTAGGCTGGGAGGTAATTTCTTCTTCGAGAACGCGAAGCATTGGGGGTGGTACCCTTCGCGAACGCGATTAGTCTCTCGTGAATGCGATAGGTTAAGGAACCTAGGGGAGGGAGTCATGTTCTTCTATGCGAACGCGTCCACTGGGTCGCGAAGGCTTGGGGGGAGCTGCCTTACGCGAACGCGTAGAAAGACTCGCGAACACGAAGGCCTTAGGCCGTTGTGCATCACGATCGCGACACGCCTCTCGCGAACACGATGAAGGCTTGTCCAGTGTTTTAAAACAGACTTCAAAACGGGATTTGTTCGAAATTTCATATTTTCTTCCATAGAACTCGACCTAGGGCGATTTCTGAAGAAGGATTTCGACACCCAATCATAGGTTTGCACTTTCTAACTTGTTTTCTTCAATTTCCATCATCATTTATTGAATTCCTCGTTTTTAATCTTGTTCTTTAAGGGTAGAAATTAGGGATTTTGGGGGAATTGGGAATTTTACAAATTTGGGAATTTTACAAATTTGGGGATTTAGACCTCGATTTGAGCTCGGATTTCGGAACTAATTATATACTCGGGCTCGGGGGTGAATGAGTAAATGGATTTTGGTCCGAACCTCGGGTTTTGACCAAGCAGGCCCGGGGTCGATTTTTTTGACTTTTTGGAGGAAAATTTAGGAAATTTAATTTATGCAATATAATTGATTTCTTTAGTAATACTTGTTATTATTGAGTCATTTTTGAATAGATACGAGTGGTTTGGAGGTGAATTCCAAAGAAAAAGTTGTGATTGAGAATTAAGTGGCCTTCGGAGCGAGGTAAGTGTTGTGTCTAACCCTGACTTGAGGGAATTGGGAACCTTAGATTATTTGCTAAGTGAAATTCATGTGAGCGGCGTATATGTGAGGTGACGAGTGCTTATGCGTCGCCAATTTACCTGTTTTTCCATGTTTCTTCCATTTTCTTATATTGTCTCTTCCTATGCCTAATTGCTACATGTTTATACTAGTGTTGTTAAATTGATCGTCATTATCATGTTTACGGATTTTCAGTTGGTAATCGAGTATTTATTTAAGACTTGAGATTTATATTGTCGAACCAAATGTTGAAGTAAGCTTTGTACTTATTATTCTATCTCCCTGTTGTTATTTATGCATTGCATTATGCTAAGGGAGAGTGTTAATGCACGAAGGGTAATGTCGCGCCATATTATGAGTGTAAAAGCATGATGGGTGATGTCGTGCCATGATATGAGAGTTAATGCACGAAGGGTGATGTCGTGCCGTTTCTATTGATTTTATGGTGAGATTGAGAGTAAAAGTACGAAGGGTGATGCCGTGCATTTTTCCTTACTGTATTCACTATTCCTGTTGATTCATGGTATATTGACTGCTCCGGTAATCATTCTGTTGTAGTTATTTATCTTGTATTCCCCTCAGTATGTTCCCCTCCAGATATTTCCTGTTTAGTTCTTCATTTATGTTATTTGTATATATACTTGTAAATTGTACATGTTGATTTGTAGGTGCCTTGCCTTAGCCTCGTCACTACTTCGTCGAGGTTAGGCTCGACACTTACAAGTACATGGGGTCGGTTGTACTGATACTGCACTCTGCACTTTCTGTGCAGATTTTGATACCGGCTCGGGTTGATCGAGATTTTGTTATTGGTCCTCTGTACGGAGACTCAAGGTAGATCTATCGGTGTTCACAGACCTTGAAGTCCCCGTCTATCTTTTCTGTTCTACTGTTTCTTTCATTCAGACAGTTGTATTTCTTTCAGACTATTACTTGTAGTAAATTCTAGGATGCTCGTGAATTGTGACTCCAGATCCGGGTGGTAGTAATTAATATAGTTTTATAATATTTCGCACTTATTATATTTTATCTTAGTTAATTATTGTTATTTGCTGAATGGAAATAAGGAATTGGTTTAATGATTCTCTAACGTTGGCTTGCCTGGCAAGTGAAATGTTAGGCGCCATCACGGTCCCGTTGGTGGGAATTCCAGGTCATGACATTCAACAACACTGATCTCAACATTAAGGGCATTATATTAACAGAAGTGGTATCTAGACATAAGTTGCACATATTTAAATCATAACATATAACAAGTACCCTTTTGAATCACAACCATTTGGTTATACAGGCATGCGAGAATACTTCCTTTACTTTGACAGAGGCAGATCTCAATTTCTGGACTTATCTAATAGGGATGACAACTAGGTAACTATTATAAGCAAATTACCCATTAACTTCACCTTTAATAGTTTTCACCGGAATGATAGGCAAAGGATTTCCAATAACCTTATGGAACCTAGATACATGATGCATCGGGTGCATGGAGGACAACAACGGGAAAACATCATACTCATAGTTTGACCTATTTCCTTCAATATTTCTTAAGTCCTAATGTGACTACACATACTTTACCTTCCATAACAATTCACCCAATATATTCATAGAAAAAATCTTGAGAATAACCCGTTCACTTTCTTCAACTCTAAATCCCTACGCCGAATACCCAAAGTAAACCTTTGGCTAACTCCAACAATTACTCTAAGATGTGCTAGCATGAATATGACCATAAAATTTCCTATCCAATATATTTGATCATGAGATGATGCTTCTTCTTTGACATGTTTGAACCTTCAACCCTATAGGTTACTATAAATAGGAACAACGAGGTCATTTCAAGAATCCATCAATGTGGTGAGCAGGGCATTTCAAGAGGTTATATCCTAAGAGACATGAAGGTTACTACCTGTAACGACCCGACCAGTCATTTTATTTTCTAGAACCCCGTTCCCCTAAATAAGACTTCCCATATATGCTTTTACTGATTTATGACTTGTGGGGATGGTTGTTTCGGGATTTGGAAGAGTTTGGGTTGAAATCGAAACACTTGGTTCCTTAAGGTTGGCTTGAAAGGCCAAGTTTGACTTCGGTCAACATTTTGAGTAAACGACCTCGGAATCGGGATTTGACGGTTTCAATAGGTTCGTATGATAATTTCGGACTTGAGCGTATGTTCGGATTGCTTCCATTTATTTATGTTAAAATTGCAAACTCCTAAATCTTTTGTTTTTTAAAATAAGAAAAAAGCTATCATTTACAAATCTATCTAAGCGGGAAGTCACTAGTTGATCAGTGTTGGCTTGCCTAATAACGATGTAGGGAGCCATCACGGCCTATAATGGAATTGGGTCGTGACAACATGGTATCATAGCACTAGGTTCACGTAGGTCTCACAAGTCATGGGCAGGCCTAGTAGAGTCTTGCGGATCGGTGCGGAGACGTCCATACTTATTTTCGAGAAGCTATAGGGTGTTAGGAAACTACTCTTTATTCATCTCCTATCGTGCAATTTATGGAATACTATGTTTCTTCCTTCTATTCTCTCACAGATGGTGAGGACGCGTACTACGAACGTTCCAGACCCGGGAGGAGCTGCTCCCCCCATTGCTAGAGGCCGAGGCAGAGGCCGAGGGAGGGCACCGGCCTGAGGAAGGGGACGAGGGCATCCCAGATCTGCCCCAGTAGCACCACCAGCGGATCCAGTGGAGGATCCCATCATGGAGGAGAAGGGCGAGGTGCCTATTCCAGAGCCAGTCCCAGTAGATTTCATGACAGCATCGGGATTTCAGGAGGTCATGGGTTGTATGCTACGGTATTTCCAGCAGACCCAGCCACATCTCAGGCAGGAGGGGGAGCACAGACCCCTATTTATCATGCTCTTGGGCACGCAATTGTAGTATATCAAACTCTGGGTACACTACCCATGGGCGGGGCCCAGCTAGTTGCCACAGCAGCACCTGAGCCTAGACCAGCTGCGGGCGGCGATCCACAGAAGCTACTGGACAGATGGACTAGGCTACACCCTCTTATCTTTGGGGGTGAGCGGCATAAGGACCCCCAGGACTTTATTGATCAGTGCAGGGACAGACTGCACAACATGAGGATATTGGAGTCCCATGGAGTAGATTTCACCGCTTTCCAGCTGGAGGGCTAGGCCCGTAGATGGTGGCAGTCTTACCTTCTTGGCAGCCCAGCGGGTTCTCCTCCCATGACTTGGGATCAGTTTACACGGTTTCTATTGGACAGGTATATTCCACCCTTTCAGAGGGAAGAGTTGTGGTGTCAGTTTGAGCAGCTCGAGTAGGGTCAGATGTCTGTGACTGATTATGAGGCGAGATTTTTTGAGTTGTCATGCCATCCACTTATGATACTTCCTACGGACGCAGAGAGAGTGCGGAGATTTGTTGCACGGTTACACCCCAGTATTCGGGCTAGCATGGCCAGGGAGGTTGAGATGGGTACTAATTATCAACTAGTAGTAGAGATTGCTCGGAGGATTGAGGGCTACCGCCAGAGGGGTAGAGAGCAGATGCAGCAGGAAAAGAGGACCCGATTCTCGGGAGAGTTTAGAGGTGCCCCGGCTAGGGGCAGAGGTCAGTTTGGGAGGGGTCAGCCTAGCAGGACCACATATCTAGCACCACCACCACTTCCTTGGGGTGATCCAGCACGGCCGTATTTCAGTTCTATGCCAGAGAGTTCTTATCGCCCGCCAGTTCATCAGGGTTCCTCCAGTGCCTACTTCAGTGCCATGCCAGAGAGTTCATACCGCCCACTAGCCATCCAGGGTTGTTCTAGTGAGTATTCAGGCCATCAGGGTCAGACTTCAGGACAGCAGTCTATGGCACGGGGTTGTTATGAGTGTGGGGATTCGGGTCACATGAAGAGATTTTGTCCCAAACTTCGGGGCAAGACAGTACAGCAGGGTCATCAGCCTATGATTACAGCACCAGTCGTCCGACCGCTCAGAGGCGGAGGAAAGGCAGGTATGGGTCGTCCTAGAGGTGGAGGCCAGGCAGGGGGAGGTCAACCAGCTATTGTTCAGCCAGGCGGAGGCCAGCCAGCCGGTGCTCCAGCTAGATTCAATGCTTTTCTGGCCAGACCAGATATAGTGGCCTCAGATGCCATGCTCACAGGTATTATTTATGTATGCGGTAGGGATGCTTCAGTATTATTTGATCCAGGGTCTACCTATTCATATGTGTCATCTCTATTTGCTCATTTCCTGGTTATTCCTCGTGAATCCTTGGGTACTCTTGTTTATGTGTCCACTCATGTGGGTGATTCTGTGGTTGTGGATCGGATCTACCGGTCTTGTATGGTTACATTCTGTGGTTACGAGACTAGAGCAGACCTTCTATTACTTGATATGATCAACTTTGAGGTCATCTTGGGCATGGAATGGTTATCCCCATATCATGCCATCCTTGATTGTCATGCCAAGACTGTTACTTTAGCGATGCCAGAGTTGCCGATATTAGAGTGGAAGGGTTCCTCCGTTAGTACATCTAGTCAGATTATCTCTTTTTTGAAGGCTCGACATCTGGTCTAAAAGGGTTGTTTGGCGTATCTAGCATATGTTCGGGATACCACCGCGGAGTCTCCGACGACTGATTCAGTGCCAGTAGTCCGGGAATTAGCCGATGTGTTTCCTTCTGACCTTCCAGGTATGCTTCGAGATCGTGATATTGATTTCAGTATTGATTTGGCTCCAGGTACACAGCCTATATCTATCCCACCGTACCGTATGGCTCCAAAAGATCTTAAGGAGTTGAAGGAGCAGCTTGAGGAGTTATTGACAAAGGGGTTTGTTAGACCGAGTGTATCACCTTAGGGTGCACCAGTGTTATTTGTGAAGAAGAAAGATAGAACTATGCGGATGTGCATTGATTACCGCTAGTTGAACAAGGTTACCATCAAGAACAGGTACCTATTGCCGCGTATTGATGATTTGTTTGACCGGTTGTAGGGTGCCAGGGTGTTTTCTAAGATCGACTTGAGATCGGGGTACCATCAGTTGAAGATCCGGGGCTCAGATGTTCCGAAGACTGCCTTACGTACCAGATATGGTCATTATGAGTTTCTAGTGATGTCCTTCGGCTTGACTAATGCCCCAACGGTGTTTATGGATTTGATGAATCGGGTGTTCATGCCTTATATTGATTCCTTCGTTATTGTCTTCATTGATGACATCTTGATTTACTCATGTATCCTGGGAGAGCACGAGCAACATTTGAGAGTGGTACTTCAGACCTTGCGAGAACAGAAGCTATATGTTAAGTTCTCCAAGTGTGAGTTTTGGCTAGAGTCTGTGGCATTCTTGGGGCATATTGTATCAGCCGAGGCAGTTCAGAGTTGGCCTCATCCCACTTTGGTGACTGAGATCAGGAGTTTCCTAGGGTTAGCAGGTTATTATCACCGGTTTGTGCAAGGCTTTTTATCCATTGTGGAACCTTTGACTAGATTGACCCAGAAGGGTGCTCCATTCCGTTGGTCCATTGATTGTGAGGCGAGCTTTCAGAAGCTCAAGACAGCTTTGACCACAGCATCAGTTCTAGTGTTGCCTTCCCGTTCAGGGATGTATACGATTTATTGTGACACTTCACGCGTTGGCTTGGTTTGTGTCTTGATGCAGGAGGGGTGAGTTATTGCATATGATTCACGTCAGCTGAAGATACATGAGAATAATTACCATGTGCACGACTTGGAGTTGGCCTCGATTGTCCATGCTCTTAAGATATGGAGGCATTATCTGTATGGGGTATCATGTGAGGTTTATACTGATCATCGCAGCTTACAGCATTTTTTCAAGCAAAAGGATCTCAATTTCAGACAGCGTGGATGGCTTGAGTTATTGAAGGATTATGACATCACCATTCTTTATCATCCAGGCAAGGCAAATGTGGTCGCGGATGCCTTAAGCAGGAAGGCAGAGAGTATGGGTAGATTGGCATTTATTTCAGCAGAGGAGAGGCCACTAGCTTTGGACATTCAGTCCTTGGCTAACAGATTTGTGAGGTTGGACATTTTAGAGCCCAGCCGAGTTCTTGCATGTGTTGTTGCCCAGTCTTCATTATTGGGGCAGATCAAGGCTCGGCAGCTCGATGATCTGCATTTGGTAGTTCTCAGAGAGACGATACTAAAGGGTAATGCCAAGGAGGTTTCTATTGGCGAGTATGATGTTCTGCGACTCCAGGGTCGCCTATGTGTTCCTAATGTCGATAGCTTAAGGGAGAGGATTCTAGAGGAGGCACACAGTTCTCGGTATTCCATTTATCCAGGTGCTACGAAGATGTATCGTGACCTGAGATAACATTATTGGTGGCAGTGGATGAAAAAAGACATAGTTGAGTATGTGACTAGGTGCTTAAATTGCCAACAGGTTAAGTATGAGCACCAGAGGCCAGGTGGCCTACTTCAGCAGATGATTATACTTGAGTGGAAATGGGATCGCATTACTATGGACTTTGTAGTTGGATTGCCGAGGACCTTGTGGAAGTTTGATGCAGTTTGGGTCATTGTCGATAGGTTGACCAAGTTGGCACACTTCATTCCAGTTGTGACTACCTATACTTCAGAGAAATTGGCCCAGATTTATATTAGGGAGATAGTTGCACGGTGTGCCTGTTTTCATCATATCATATAGAGGCCCTCAGTTCACTTCACATTTCTGGAGAGCCGTACATAGTGAGTTGGGGACCCGTGTAGAGCTCAGCACATCATTTCATCCACAGATCGACGAGCAGTCAGAGCGGATAGTTCAGATATTGGAGGACATGCTGAGAGCATGTGTGATTGACTTTGGGGGACATTGGGATCAGTTCTTGCAATTGGCCGAGTCTGCTTACAACAACAGTTATCATTCCAGCATCAAGATGGCCCCATTTGAAGCTTTATATGGTCGGCGATGTCGTTCTCCCATCGGGTGGTTTGATCTCGGTGAGGCTAGGTTATATAGTACTGATCTGGTGAAGGATGCCTTGGAAAAGGTAAAGTTGATTCAGGAGCAACTTCGCACAGCACAGTCCAGACAGAAGAGTTACACGGATCAGAAGGCGCGTGATGTATCATTTATGGTAGGCGAGAAGGTTCTCTTGAAAGTCTCACCGATGAAGGGTATTATGAGATTCAAAAAGAATGGCAAGTTGTGCCCAAGGTTTATAGGCCCATTTGAGGTGTTGAGGCGAGTTGGGGAGATTGCTTATAAGCTTACTTTACCTCCCAGCCTATCAGGGGTTCATCTAGTTTTTCACGTGTTTATGCTCCGGAGGTACCATACCGACCTGTCACATGTGTTAGACTTCAGCACTATTCAACTAGATGAGAGCTTGGGCTATGAGGAGGAGCCAGTTGCTATTGTTTCTAGGCAGGATCGCCAGTTGAGGTCCAAGAGGATTTCTGCGGTAAGGGTTCAGTGGAGGGGCCAACCAGTCGAGGAGGCAACCTAGGAGTCCGAGGTGGACATGCGGAGCAGATATCCACACTTATTCAGCACTTCAGGTATGAATCTAAACCCGTTCGAGGACGAACAATTGTTTAAGGGGTGGAGAATGTAACGATCCGACCGGTCATTTTTCTTTCTAGAACCCCGTTCCCCTAAATAAGACTTCCCCTACATGCTTTTACTAATTTATGACTTGCGGGGATGGTTGGTTCGGGATTTGGAAGAGTTTGGGTTGAAATCGGAACACTTGGTTCCTTAAGGATGGCTTGAAAGGCTAAGTTTGACTTTGGTCAACATTTTGAGTAAACGACCTCAGAATCGGGATTTGACGGTTCCAATAGGTTCGTATGATGATTTCAGACTTGGCGTATATTTGAATCGGGTTTTGGATGACCCGGGAGCTTTTTGTCGCCCAACAGTGAAAGTTGGTTCTTGAAGGTTTTAGAAGTTCTTTAAAATTTGGTTTTGAGTGGGTTTTGGTAATATCGAGGTCCAAAAGGAATTCCAAGACCGGGAATAGTTCCGTAGTGTCATTTAAGACTTGCACGCAAAATTTGGTATCATTCCGAATAGTATAAGTACGTTTCGGTGCATTGAAAGTAAATTGAAGAACTTGAAGTTCTTAAGTTTGATTCAATTGGTTTTAGGGTGTGATTCTTAGTTTTAATATTGTTTCGGGCGTTTTGAGAGTTCGAGCGAGTCCGTTTTCTGATTTCAAACTTGTTGGTATATTCGGACGGGGCCACGGGGGCCCCGAGTGTCAATCGGACGAGGCTCAGACCAAGTTGGAATTTGGAAGCCAAAGCTGAAGCTCCAGCTGCTGTCATAATCGCACCTGCACTTGGTCAGCCGTAGGTGCGAGCTCGCAGGTGCAAGCCCCATGATCACAGATGCGTCCCAGCATAGGCTTCCCAGCCATCGTAGAAGCAGAAGAAGGACCGCACCTGCGAAAGCGCAGGTGCGAAGGCAGGCATCGCAGGAGCGGGCAGTGTCGCAGGTGTGCGTCGTTTGTCATTGATGCGTGTCTGCAGGTGCGATCACCTGGGCGTAGAAGCGAGATAAGGCAGCCTGTCTTTGGTCCGCACCTGCGCGAGTTGTCCGCAGAAGCGGAAGCGTAGTTGCGCCAATTTAACCGCAGGTGCGGAAGTCAATGAAGGGCAGTGATGTTTTAAAACGGGGTTTGAGCACTTTTGCTCACTTCTTACTCTTCTTGGGGGCGATTTTGGAGCTGGTTAGAGAGGGGATTTCCATCAACTAGTTGAGATAAGTAATTCCTATCAAATGTGAGTTAAATACATGGTTTGTGGGTAGGTTATAACATGTAAATTAGTGAAAATCATAGGGTTAGAGGAAAACCTAGGTTTTTGATAAAAATGGAGTTTTACCGCGAAAATGGTTATGGAACTTAATGAAAATCATATATTTATGTTCCTAAGGTTATGGGTAACAACTTTCTTCAAAAATTTCCAGAATTCGGGCACGTGGGCCCAGGGGCAAATTTTAGGAATCATGCATTTAGGGTTGGGAAATTACTTAAATAGTAGGGATATGAACTTTTAAGCCCATATTGATTAGTTTCTACACTATTTTATAGTTTTGGATTGTTCGGCACCAAATTGAGGGTTTGGTCATAAGCTTGGACCGGAAAGTAGGCCTTAAAGCAAGGTAAGTGTCTTTTCTAACCTTGTAAGACGGAAATTTCCCCATAGGTAAACTTAATTAATGTATGATTAGTTGTGGGGGCTATGTGCGCACGAAGTGACGAGAGTCCGTACGTAGCTACTATTCTTGTTATGTTCGGGTAGTTCTAGGCTTACACCATGCTTTGTGGGTACCGTTATCTGAACATAATTTTTTATTCGCATTGAATGGAACTAAGTTGAGGATTTTAAGATTTCAAAGGTTTCAAGTAAATTAATATTTTGAAAAGAATTGAGAAAAATTACGTTATATTTATATTTAACCGCGTCGCAAGTATATTTTGCGAGCGGGGTGACTATTTCTACTACTCTCATAGGAGCGGGCCGTTCGCCTAGGCAAGTTAATAGATGCATCTATGGTTCGCCCCGTTCGACCCTTGGCAGTGCACAATTTACATTTTCATGTTGGATTGGACAGAACGTCCTCAGTGGAATTTGTATGTGATAATAGAAGTGAAAGCCCTTTTTTATAATTGGTATAAATTTACTGTTTTAGAGATCATTTGTTTAAAATGAAGGAAGTATTTTGTCTTCTTAGATATGATAGAAGAACTGTACAATTATTTCTTGTTCTGAGTTTATTGTTAGTTATGTGTATCATGCTTATTTAGAATAACATATTATTATATTGTTGGCCATAGTGAGTGTCAAAGTCGACCCCTCGTTACTACTTCTTCGAGGTTAGACTGGATATTTACTGGGTACATATTTTCATGTACTCATGCTACACTTTTGTACTTGATTGTACAGGATTTGAGGTAGGTGCATCTGGCCACCAGTCCGACGTGTAGACTGATTTCCCAGCTCGAGACTTCCCGGTGAGCTATCCTTTTGAGTCGTTCTGCAGCAGCTAGAGTCTCTCTTATGTTATTTTATTTTCTATCTATTTCCTTTCAGACAGTAGGCTAGCATTGTTTTGTATATTCTACTAGTTTGCCCACATACTTGTGACACTAGGTCTTGGCACACACACTAGTAGACTTATGATTTTGGTTTGCTCAGATGATTACGATTAGTACTAATTGCTTCCATTTATTTATGTTAAAATTGCAAAGTCCTAAATCTTTTTTTTTTTAAATAAGGAAAAAGCTATCGTTTACAAATCTATCTAAGCGGGAAGTCACTAGTTGATCAGTTTTGGCTTGCCTAACAACAGTGTTGGGCGTCATCACGGCCTATAATAGAATTGGGTCGTGACACTACCAATAGCGCTGGCATGGTTAATCATTATGATGACATCATTGATTTGACAAATGAGGTATAGAGTTTCCTAGTATGCATTGATAATGTGGGGACCATGTTCGTGATTCTGAGATTTAAAAGAAACGAGTCATGAAAAGGACAACNTGAGGCATAGAGTTGCCTAGTAGGCATTGATAATGTAGGGAAAATGTTCATGATTCTTAGATTTAAAAGAAATGAGTCATGAAAAGGACAACAACAATTGTTTCATTTCATGTGTGCCTTGTTCGGCAATAGTAGGCCTCAAAGTGAGATAGCCAAGTATGTGACACTAGTCGCCTCTTGGAATGTAGGAAAAATCTGTTTAACTCGAAATGAGAATATTCTAACACTCTGAATGTGATATGGGTTTCAAGATACACGAAGTTGCATTACGCTCTTAACAGTATTTGACACAGGGAATCTATGCCACAAACCCAATGAGGATGAAAAAGAAGTTGAATATTTGTGAGATTATTATCATTCTGATAGCTTAACCCTTCCTGATAGTTGATTCTATATGAGAGGACTAGAGATACAACGAACTTTTCTTTCAAATCAATATGCTCTCATGTTACTAGATGGTGAAAAGGATTCATGATAATATATACAAAGGAACAAAGTGGTTGTTCAAACCATAGGAGCAACATACACCGGAGAGAAAAAGAGTGGCTCAAGAAGGACCTCAACACTAGGCTGCTTTATATTAGATTTGATACCACATATGTAAATATTATGGTGGTGCGTGCATAGGCACAAGTGAGCAGATATTATCCATTTGAATCAAAACGTTCTGTAAGAAGTTCATTCCAAGGAAATATGTGAGCAAGTGGGAAATATTAACCTAGGGTTATAACTCATTCCAAGGAAATCATTATAGAACTCAATTCCTCAAGAGGTTGTAAATAAGAGAATTTGGGATAGAGTGGCTTCATGAATAATGCGTCTTGTTTAGAAAGTAAGTACAGGCAATGTTTTGTGATTCAACGTCTTGTTAAGACCATGTTTATGAAGGCTCTTCAATATAGATGTACATATATAACAAGGAAAAACTATGCGTGTTCATAATGATGTACTAAGGAACGACTTACTTGATGACATTAGATTGACAGGGCAGTACTTTAATTGATGCCCCTCTACTCCACATCCAAAACTTACATTAGTACCATAGTGACGTACCCCCGAATGACATCCCATACACTCCACACAACAAGGATGGGGTCCGCTAAACTGAGTCGCCCCACTTACCTGATATTTACTCTTTTTGCATACATCATAAGCATCCCCCTTATCCTTCCTCCAGGACTCGTGACTGGATTAACAATCTCTATAACAACTCGTTGTATGGGCTTTTGGAATTGCCCAAATCTACCACCCTAACACGCTTCTAAGCATACTCCCAACATGATGCAAAATGTTCCAGCCCGCATATCAGGCAAACCGAGATGGGTGTACCCAACCTAAGGGCATTTGTTCTTCTTGTGCCCCTTCTTTCCACAACCATAACATGCTACAAGAATCATCCAACATAAACCCGAGTGGCTCTTCTTTCATATCAAACATTCTGGCTTATTGATACTAATAATCCTCTTTCATTTCTTAGGTGCTCTCACCACATATTCCGGTGGCGCGGTAACATTAATAGGAAAGCGACACTTCCCCTAGCAACTAGTTCTTTTAATATCTCCTCGTTGTCTCGAACTCGTGGGTTACTCATATGGAAAATGAGACATGGTGAGGAATTTAACTTCCTACCTTGAGCTTTATCGCACGATCTGGAGTTTCAAAGAAGGGTGAAATTCCTAAATGCCCAAGTAGCCTCCTCATTATAAATGTGGTCGACAACACACCGATAAGAAGGACTCTACTAGACATGGCTCTGAGATATCCTAGGAACTTTAAAACCTTAAGCTCTGATACCAAGTTTGTCACACCCCAAACTCGGGGAGCGTGACCGGCGCTCAACCGAGTGAACCCGGCCGAGCAAGCATGTTGGATTTTCTTCTACCCAAACTCATCCATGAATAAAGAGAAGATGTACTCCGTTAATCAAACTTTCAAAAGATTTCATTAGCAACTCCCATTTCATTTCCATTAGCAACTTCATTCATAATTTCCCAAAATATTACGAGTTTATAGGATTAATGAAAAAAATGATTTTCAAATACCAACATTTCTAATTCAATTCCCCACACTAAATACCACCCATAACTTGTCTGCGGAGCCTCTAAGTACAACAGAAGAGAAATATGGAAATGCGGGCAACAAAGCCCCAGCTATACCTCAACCACAAAGTACATGAGAAGCAAAAGATACATGACCCCGTAATGAAGTGAGGCTCACCAAGTCAGCTGAAGAGAATGTACCGCTATCACTGACTAATACCGTCTACTGTAGAACCACCTGCATACGTTAAAGATGCAGCGCCCTGGCAAAAGGGACGTTAATACCGTCAAATAGCACTAATATATATAGCTAAAAGTCATCTTTCAAAATAGAATGCCCATATAATAAAAGGCAACACATAGAAATAGCAAGTCACAATCAACAATATCCAAATGTCCACTTAAAACATAATAATGTTCAAAATATGAACTTCATATACAATATTTTTAGTTGGGAGATCATTAGCACCGATATACCATTGTTTAAAATATCACTATTCACAATACCAATGTTCACAATACCAGTGTTCACAATAACAATGCCACCGTACTTTTAGCACGGAGTCCGATCACGACCCGACCGGCTAGGCTATCTCATTAGAGACATCAACCACAATTACTATCATTACCAATACCACTATAATTTTAGCACGGAGTTCGATCACGACCCGATTGGCTAGGCTATCTCCTTAGAGAATCAACCACAATTACTATCAATACCAATACTACCGTAATTTTAGCACGGAGTCCGATCATGACCCGATCGGCTAGGATGTCTTATTTGAAGACATCAACCAAAATCTCAATTTCAATTAAGAGGAATAATTTTATCACATCAATCTTATCCCAAATAAGGGGAATAATCACAATTCACCCCTACACCGGCACGTGTAGTTTCAGGTGTGGGCCTTATGACCCACCCTTCCTCGGTTTTGCTAATGATGCTCCCAAAAATATTTTTTTTATTTGATTTGCACACAAAGGTAACATAAATACAATTGTACTCACCTCAACATCATTCACATTGTATAAATTCTCATTAGTATTTCCAGTCACTCACAACAACAATATTTCATTGTCTAATTTGGCCATTCACAAGATTCTTTATTCCTAGCACGATTGCCGTATTTCATATTCCACACTTTCACCTCTTTCAATTTCAAAGATCACCATCAATTATCAATATATAGAATATTTCAGAAATCATATACTTCATATCCATTTGAAATGAGAACTTCAAACACAAATGGTGTCTTCCCAAAGAATGAGGCATACCAACCAACAATAGAAACACACATAAAAAATCATAAACAATCAATACACAATTTATTCTTGCAATACTCTTCCCCAGAAATGACAACGTACAATTTCAACACATGAGTATATAGAACTCGAATCATACTGGATATATTTATAAAGCAAAGCATTAGTTAAAACAACCACTTATGGGCATGAATTTCGTACAAAAACTTTTAGGCAATTCTATTTTCGAAATCATTTTTAAACAGTTGAGTCAAGGCACATTTCATAATCTTTATCACACTCCATCATTTCATTGGCACCAGTAGCCAAAATTATAACTTAAATTCTTGGCACGTTGGCCACACTCTATATCCCCAATTCACTTATTTTATCTTCAAGCATCTTTATAGATTATCAACCACAAGACATTTTCAGTCAAAACTTTAGGCACACATATGAGCAGTTAAGAGTCTTAAGAATATTGAGATTTTCTCACACAATTTGAAATCATAACCTTCATTTGGAACACGACTCAAAGATATGGCATTTTAATACGCAAACCATACTTCGAACAACTATCTTTCGACATAAGGCTCATTAGGAATAACCAAGTTTGAAGGGAATAACCCGGAATATAGAAGTTAGGAATCTTGAGCCAACCATACTTGAAACTTACGGAAACATTATGTAATTCGATTCTAAGATAGAAAGTTTAGCCAACATACCTCGCTTTGAGCTTTCCTTAAATTACTACAACATTTCAGAAATTCTAGCAATCCCAATCTATTTTGAGACATAACAAATTGAACCATAATTAGGAAGATATTCATGGTCTCAGCTCATTTGAGCATTTTATCAAACACTAGGTGTGCAAATTTAACTACAAGGTTCTTCTACAAGATTTCCTTCACTCCACAACCTAATCCTTACTTATTTGAGCTCAACAATCTTCCCACAAACCTTTTTGGTACAAGCATGTATAATTAATACTCTTACACCCAAGAATCATACTCCCAATCACCCACCTTTTACCCCAAGCTCGAAATTGAAGACTAGGGGTTTGAATCTTACCTCTTGAGTGAAGATCTTGTGAGATTTCCTTGTTGGATTTCAAGGCTTGAACAAGATCTTGATGAACAAAATACTTCATCTACTTCCTCTCT